GCCTGCCCCAGGTGTATCGCTGTCCCCAGGTGTGTAGCTGTGAGGTAAGTGAGAAGCCAGCCTCAGGTGTATCACTGTCACCAGGTGTGTAGCTGTGACGTAAGTGAGAAGCCTGCCCCAGGTGCATCGCTGTCCCCAGATGTGTAGCTGTGAGGTAAGTGAGAAGCCAGCCCCAGGTGTATCGCTGTCCTCAGGTGTGTAGCTGTGAGGTAAGTGAGAAGCCAGCCTCAGGTGTATCGCTGTCACCAGGTGTGTAGCTGTGACGTAAGTGAGAAGCCCGCCCCAGGTGAATCGCTGTCCCCAGGTGTGTAGCTGTGAGGTAAGTGAGAAGGCTGCCCCAGGTGTGTAGCTGTGAGGTAAGTGAGAAGCCTGCCCCAGGTGTATCGCTGTCACCAGGTGTGTAGCTATGAGGTAAGTGAGAAGCCTGCCTCAGGTGTATCGCTGTCCCCAGATGTGTAGCTGTGAGGTAAGTGAGAAGCAAGCCTCAGGTGTGTAGCTGTGAGGTAAGGGAGAAGCCTGCCCCAGGTGTATCGCTGTCCCCAGATGTGTAGCTGTGAGGTAAGTGAGAAGCAAGCCTCAGGTGTGTAGCTGTGAGGTAAGTGAGAAGCCTGCCCCAGGTGTATCGCTGTCACCAGGTGTGTAGCTATGAGGTAAGTGAGAAGCCTGCCTCAGGTGTATCGCAGTCCCCAGATGTGTAGCTGTGAGGTAAGTGAGAAGCAAGCCTCAGATGTGTAGCTGTGAGGTAAGTGAGAAGCAAGCCTCAGGTGTGTAGCTGTGACGTAAGGGAGAAGCCTGCCCCAGGTGTGTCGCTGTCACCAGGTGTGTAGCTGTGAGGTAAGTGAGAAGCCTGCCCCAGGTGTATCGCTGTCACCAGGTGTATCGCTGTCACCAGGTGTGTAGCTGTGAGTTAAGTGAGAAGCCTGCCCCAGGTGTATCGCTGTCCCCAGGTGTGTAGCTGTGACGTAAGTGAGTAGCCTGCCCCAAGTGTGTAGCTGTGACGTAAGTGAGTAGCCTGTCCAGGGTGTGTAGCTGTCCCCAGGTGTGTAGCTGTGACGTAAGTGAGTAGCCTGCCCCAGGTGTGTAGCTGTGACGTAAGTGAGTAGCCTGTCCAGGGTGTGTAGCTGTAAAGTAAGTGAGAAGCCCTGCCCCAGGTGTGTAGCTGTGACGTAAGTGAGAAACCTGTCCCAGGTGTATCGCTGTCCCCAGGTGTGTAGCTGTGACGTAAGTGAGAAGCCTGCCCCAGGTGTGTAGCTGTGATGTAAGCGAGTAGCCTGTCCCGGGTGTATCGCTGTCCCCAGGTGTGTAGCTGTGACGTAAGTGAGAAGCCTGCCCCAGGTGTGTAGCTGTGACGTAAGTGAGTAGCCTGTCCCAGGTGTATCGCTGTCACCAGGTGTGTAGCTGTGACGTAAGTGAGTAGCTTGCCCCAGGTGTGTAGCTGCGACGTAAATGAGTAGCCTGCCTCAGGTGAATCGCTGTGACCAGGTGAGTAGCTGAGACGTAAGTGAGAAGCCTGCGCCAGGTGAGTAGCTGTGACGTGAGTGAGTAGCCTGCCCCAGGTGTGTAGCTGTGACGTAAGTGAGAAGCCTGCCCCAGGTGTGTAGCTGTCACCAGGTGAGTAGCTGTGACGTAAGTGAGAAGCCTGCGCCAGGTGAGTAGCTGTGACGTGAGTGAGTAGCCTGCCCCAGGTGTGTAGCTGTGACGTAAGTGAGAAGCCTGCCCCAGGTGTGTAGCTGTCACCAGGTGAGTAGCTGTGAGGTAAGTGAGAATCCTGCGCCAGGTGAGTAGCTGTGACGTAAGTGAGTAGCCTGCCCCAGGTGTGTAGCTGTGATGTAAGCGAGTAGCCTGTCCCGGGTGTATCGCCGTCCCCAGGTGTGTAGCTGTGACGTAAGTGAGAAGCCTGCCCAAGGTGTGTAGCTGTGACGTAAGCGAGTAGCCTGCCCCAGGTGTATCGCTGTCCCCAGGTGTGAAGCTGTGAGGTAAGTGAGTAGCCTGTCCCAGGTGTATCGCTGTCCCCAGGTGTGTAGCTTTGACGTAAGTGAGAAGCCTGCCCCAGGTGTGTAGCTTTGACGTAAGTGAGAAGCCTGCCCCAGGTGTGTAGCTGTGATGTAAATGAGTAGCCTGCCCCAGGTGTGTAGCTGTCACCAGGTGAGTAGCTGTGACGTAAGTGAGAAGCCTGCGCCAGGTGAGTAGCTGTGACATGAGTGAGTAGCCTGCCCCAGGTGTGTAGCTGTGACGTAAGTGAGAAGCCTGCCCCAGGTGTGTAGCTGTCACCAGGTGAGTAGCTGTGACGTAAGTGAGAAGCCTGCGCCAGGTGAGTAGCTGTGACGTGAGTGAGTAGCCTGCCCCAGGTGTGTAGCTGTGACGTAAGTGAGAAGCCTGCCCCAGGTGTGTAGCTGTCACCAGGTGAGTAGCTGTGACGTAAGTGAGAAGCCTGCCCCAGGTGTGTAGCTGTCACCAGGTGAGTAGCTGTGAGGTAAGTGAGAATCCTGCGCCAGGTGAGTAGCTGTGACGTAAGTGAGTAGCCTGCCCCAGGTGTGTAGCTGTGACGTAAGTGAGTAGCCTGCCCCAGGTGTGTAGCTGTGATGTAAGTGAGTAGCCTGCCCCAGGTGTGTAGCTGTGACGTAAGTGAGAAGCCTGCCCCAGGTGTGTAGCTGTCACCAGGTGAGTAGCTGTGACGTAAGTGAGAAGCCTGCCCCAGGTGTGTAGCTGTCACCAGGTGAGTAGCTGTGAGGTAAGTGAGAATCCTGCGCCAGGTGAGTAGCTGTGACGTAAGTGAGTAGCCTGCCCCAGGTGTGTAGCTGTGACGTAAGTGAGTAGCCTGCCCCAGGTGTGTAGCTGTGATGTAAGTGAGTAGCCTGCCCCAGGTGTGTAGCTGTCACCAGGTGAGTAGCTGTGACGTAAGTGAGAAGCCTGCGCCAGGTGAGTAGCTGTGACGTGAGTGAGTAGCCTGCCCCAGGTGTGTAGCTGTGACGTAAGTGAGAAGCCTGCCCCAGGTGTGTAGCTGTCACCAGGTGAGTAGCTGTGACGTAAGTGAGAAGCCTGCCCCAGGTGTGTAGCTGTCACCAGGTGAGTAGCTGTGAGGTAAGTGAGAATCCTGCGCCAGGTGAGTAGCTGTGACGTAAGTGAGTAGCCTGCCCCAGGTGTGTAGCTGTGACGTAAGTGAGTAGCCTGCCCCAGGTGTGTAGCTGTGATGTAAGTGAGTAGCCTGCCCCAGGTGAGTAGCTGTGATGTAAGTGAGTAGCCTGCCCCAGGTGTGTAGCTGTGACGTAAGTGAGAAGCCTGCCCCAGGTGTGTAGCTGTCACCAGGTGAGTAGCTGTGACGTAAGTGAGAAGCCTGCCCCAGGTGTGTAGCTGTCACCAGGTGAGTAGCTGTGAGGTAAGTGAGAATCCTGCGCCAGGTGAGTAGCTGTGACGTAAGTGAGTAGCCTGCCCCAGGTGTGTAGCTGTGACGTAAGTGAGTAGCCTGCCCCAGGTGTGTAGCTGTGATGTAAGTGAGTAGCCTGCCCCAGGTGTGTAGCTGTCACCAGGTGAGTAGCTGTGACGTAAGTGAGTAGCCTGCCCCAGGTGTGTAGCTGTGATGTAAGTGAGTAGCCTGCCCCAGGTGTGTAGCTGTGATGTAAGTGAGTAGCCTGCCCCAGGTGTGTAGCTGTCACCAGGTGAGTAGCTGTGACGTAAGTGAGTAGCCTGCCCCAGGTGTGTAGCTGTGATGTAAGCGAGTAGCCTGTCCAGGGTGTATCGCCGTCCCCAGGTGTGTAGCTGTGACGTAAGTGAGAAGCCTGCCCAAGGTGTGTAGCTGTGACGTAAGCGAGTAGCCTGCCCCAGGTGTATCGCTGTCCCCAGGTGTGAAGCTGTGAGGTAAGTGAGTAGCCTGTCCCAGGTGTATCGCTGTCCCCAGGTGTGTAGCTTTGACGTAAGTGAGAAGCCTGCCCCAGGTGTGTAGCTGTGACGTAAGTGAGTAGCCTGCCCCAGGTGTGTAGCTGTCACCAGGTGAGTAGCTGTGACGTAAGTGAGAAGCCTGCCCCAGGTGTGTAGCTGTGACGTAAGTGAGTAGCCTGCCCCAGGTGTGTAGCTGTCACCAGGTGAGTAGCTGTGACGTAAGTGAGAAGCCTGCCCCAGGTGTGTAGCTGTGACGTAAGTGAGTAGCCTGCCCCAGGTGTGTAGCTGTCACCAGGTGAGTAGCTGTGACGTAAGTGAGAAGCCTGCCTCAGGTGTGTAGCTGCGACCCGGGAATGATTGTGCGATTGTTGGGTGTTGACCTTGGAATGACTGTGGTTGTTGGGTGTTGACCTGGGAATGATTGTGCGATTGTTGGGTGTTGACCTTGGAATGACTGTGGTTGTTGGGTGTTGACCTGGGAATGATTGTGCGATTGTTGGGTGTTGACCTTGGAATGACTGTGGTTGTTGGGTGTTGACCTGGGAATGATTGTGCGATTGTTGGGTGTTGACCTTGGAATGACTGTGGTTGTTGGGTGTTGACCTGGGAATGATTGTGCGATTGTTGGGTGTTGACCTTGGAATGACTGTGGTTGTTGGGTGTTGACCTGGGAATGATTGTGCGATTGTTGGGTGTTGACCTTGGAATGATTGTGTGGTTGTTGGTAGTTGACATGGGAATGCTGGTTTAACTTGATTCTATTGCACAAAACAGATGTCATATTACATATTTCAAACAGCTATCTTTAGGGGACTGTTGACATTTCCAAATCCACCCTTTTCTGTTATATGAAAAACCAGTGAACACACCTGCAGAAACCAAACAATGAATGCGACAAACCAAACAATAACATTTCTGCATATTCTAATTTAAATCTCATATCTTTTCATACTTCTGGGCATGCTGAGACACTCAAATTTTCTATTTATTCTGCCGATTCCACAAGGCATAGTTACCCAAAGTTATCAAGGTGTAAGTCTTGGAACCTGGAGTCTAAAGGACACCAACAGCTACAGTGCTACAGAGTCGGCTACAACACTAAACAATCAGCTACAATGTCTTACTCATGATCCGGTCCGGTGTTCAGGATGGTCATTTTCACCCCTGACCCAAGCCCCTTGAAGTCTGTCTGGAACCAGGTACAGAAGCCATGGAGCTGGCCATCTTTGGTTATGTGGAATTCAAACTGCTGTGCGATCTTCTCCAGGTCCTCAATGATGACTGTGTGAAGGTCAAGGGAGAAGAGCTCGGTCTCCATGGCAAGACACTGCTCCCTCTGCAGGACATAGTTGTGGTACGGTTTCTCAAAGAACTCACTACTGGCAGGACCTCTGAAAACACAAGCAATAGCTGCATGATCCATGATCCAAATGACAGAAACATAAGTATGATCATCATGTGAAGTGAAAACATTTGCTTAAACTGTCCAGCCTTCTTGGTCTCCATGTGTGGATCTCCTGTTTAAAAACAATTACAGATGTATAAACATTTGATACATGCTGTCTTATCTCAACTCATTGTGACAGATATTTTACATTGGTGTCAGAATGACTAGCACTATTTACAGAGGCCTACATTGAGTTGTTGTTGTTGTTGTTTGTTGTTTAACGCTGCACTCAGCAATATTCCAGCCAGAAACAGGTGGTCTGTAAATAATCGAGTCTGGACAAGATTAGCTAGTGATTGACATCATGAGCGTCAATCTACTCAATGGGGATATGATGACATAAATCAACCAAGTCAGCGAGCTTGACCATCTGATCTCGTTTGTCACCTCTTACAACAAACAGTCGCCTTTTACAGCAAGCATGGGTTGCTGATGAGCTATTCTACCCCGGATCTTCACGGGTGACTACACTGAGTTTCACGTGGGCATCAAACAAACCCATGACTGAGAGGGTTTCACTAATCTTTGCCATCTGTCAGTCACCCCTTGTTCCTCCCACAACTCACACAGAACATGATTCTGGGTGGCCAATACATTCAGCATTGTCTTCATACTTGTTTTACAGGTCCGTAGATGCAAAAATTCACAAATGTTGACAAAAATAAAGAAAAGCCCATTTTCCCCATTAATATGTAAATGAATACAAAATCCACTGAGGACATACATTTTAAACATAAGGGGGAAGAATTTGACTGCAGAAAGGGACAGTACTATTTAATCTTCAACATAACTTCAGCATATCAGTGATGAATGTATGTAACAATGCAAGCCACAAAGGAGGATCAACTATCCTAAAACATGTACATATATCTTGTTATTTTCCTTTAACCTTGCATAAAAATTAATTGGTCTTACTTGAGAGATGAGAAGTCGAAGCTGTACTGGTTGTCCCAGAACTGTACCAAGTCCCTGTGTTTGTCATGAGCCATGCATGGCACCAGGTACAGGCTAGCCCGGGACGGCCACATCACACCCTCACTCTTCAGGAACTTGTCCCGAGCAATAATCACAGACTCAATCATCATTTCAAACTGAAACAGTGAAAGTGGCATGACAAATCAGTGTGTCACCTACTTTGTGAAATATGACAAATCTTTTCAGAACTTACAGTTCCAGTACAACCCTCAGCAGCATGTGACATTACTGCATTGTCTGTGGTCATGACAGCTCCTTGACGGCATGAGAGTGAGTGAGTGAGTATGGTTTTATGCTTCTTTTAGCAATATATTTCAACAATATCAAAGCGGGGACACCAGAAATGGCCTTCACACATTGTACCCATGTCAGGAATCAAACCCAGGTCTTCGGCGTGACGAGCAAACGCTTTAACCACTAGGCTACCCGACCGCCCCGGCAGTGAGTAAGTGAGTGAGTTAATATTTAAAGTCACATCAGCAATATTTCAGCCATATAGTGACTATATCAAATTATACTATACATACATTTAGATTAAAAACCTGTCAACAAAGGACAGTAAAAGAACAAGATTATCACAGATATAAGTTTAAAACTAGTAAATGACCATAAAACTTATTTATTTATAACAATACAATATAAAAGTGGGCTTTGTATCACCAGCAACCAAAGGTAGGCCACCATACTGGGGACAATGGGGACTTATAGTACCTTTGCTACCCAGCAGTATTTACACTATCCCTTTAGTCACTGGTGATTATTCAGGAGGTTAGCCAAAGATAAAAACAATCAGATATGCTATGATTAAATCACTGGTATATATAAATTACTTTGAATGACATGGGCTTATGTACACTCTCAGGGGGAGAATAATTTTACGCAGGACATGCTTGACCATGATTCTCTCATCACAAAGGATACAAAACAGAGGATCCTCACCTTTAAAAATATACTCAGGGGTGTATCAGGAATGGCCAATACGACATCATCTTAGAATGTCCTCTTCATATCTGGACTGACAGCCTAGGTAGGTGTAACCTATACTTGGTTTAATTTCATGTAACTTATTGATACCTACTTGGGTGTCCCTCGCCCTGACAGCATGTGACAATACATTACTGCATGGTCTGTAGTCATGACAGTAAAGGCCGGCAGATGGTACTCAGCTCCTTGACAGCATGTGACAATACATTACTGCATGGTCTGTGGTCATGACAGTAAACGCGGGCAGACAGTACTCAGCTCCTTGACAGCATGTGACAATACATTACTGCATAGTCTGTGGTCATGACAGTAAAGGCCGGCAGATGGTACTCAGCTCCTTGACAGCATGTGACAATACATTACTGCATGGTCTGTGGTCATGACAGTAAACGCGGGCAGACAGTACTCAGCTCCTTGACAGCATGTGACAATACATTACTGCATGGTCTGTGGTCATGACAGTAAACGCGGGCAGACAGTACTCAGCTCCTTGACAGCATGTGACAATACATTACTGCATGGTCTGTGGTCATGACAGCTCCTTGACAGCATGTGACAATACATTACTGCATGGTCTGTGGTCATGACAGTAAACGCGGGCAGACAGTACTCAGCTCCTTGACAGCATGTGACATTACATTACTGCATGGTCTGTGGTCATGACAGTAAAGGCCGGCAGACGGTACTCAGCTCCTTGACAGCATGTGACAATACATTACTGCATGGTCTGTGGTCATGACAGTAAACGCGGGCAGACAGTACTCAGCTCCTTGACAGCATGTGACATTACATTACTGCATGGTCTGTGGTCATGACAGTAAAGGCCGGCAGACGGTACTCAGCTCCTTGACAGCATGTGTCAATACATTACTGCATGGTCTGTGGTCATGACAGTTAAGGCCGGCAGACGGTACTCAGCTCCTTGACAGCATGTGACAATACATTACTGCATGGTCTGTGGTCATGACAGCTCCTTGACAGCATGTGACAATACATTACTGCATGGTCTGTGGTCATGACAGTAAACGCGGGCAGACAGTACTCAGCTCCTTGACAGCATGTGACATTACATTACTGCATGGTCTGTGGTCATGACAGTAAAGGCCGGCAGACGGTACTCAGCTCCTTGACAGCATGTGACAATACATTACTGCATGGTCTGTGGTCATGACAGTTAAGGCCGGCAGACGGTACTCAGCTCCTTGACAGCATGTGACAATACATTACTGCATGGTCTGTAGTCATGACAGCTCCTTGACAGCATGTGACAATACATTACTGCATGGTCTGTGGTCATGACAGTTATGGCCGGCAGACGGTACTCAGCTCCTTGACAGCATGTGACAATACATTACTGCATGGTCTGTGGTCATGACAGTTATGGCCGGCAGACGGTACTCAGCTCCTTGACAGCATGTGACAATACATTACTGCATGGTCTGTAGTCATGACAGCTCCTTGACAGCATGTGACAATACATTACTGCATGGTCTGTGGTCATGACAGCTCCTTGACAGCATGTGACAATACATTACTGCATGGTCTGTAGTCATGACAGTAAACGCGGGCAGCATGTGACAATACATTACTGCATGGTCTGTGGTCATGACAGTAAACGCGGGCAGACGGTACTCAACTCCTTGACAGCATGTGACAATACATTACTGCATGGTCTGTGGTCATGACAGTAAACGCGGGCAGACGGTACTCAACTCCTTGACAGCATGTGACAATACATTACTGCATGGTCTGTGGTCATGACAGTAAATGCGGGCAGACAGTACTCAGCTCCTTGACAGCATGTGACAATACATTACTGCATGGTCTGTGGTCATGACAGTTATGGCCGGCAGACGGTACTCAGCTCCTTGACAGCATGTGACAATACATTACTGCATGGTCTGTAGTCATGACAGCTCCTTGACAGCATGTGACAATACATTACTGCATGGTCTGTGGTCATGACAGCTCCTTGACAGCATGTGACAATACATTACTGCATGGTCTGTAGTCATGACAGCTCCTTGACAGCATGTGACAATACATTACTGCATGGTCTGTGGTCATGACAGTAAACGCGGGCAGACGGTACTCAACTCCTTGACAGCATGTGACAATACATTACTGCATGGTCTGTGGTCATGACAGTAAACGCGTGCAGACGGTACTCAACTCCTTGACAGCATGTGACAATACATTACTGCATGGTCTGTGGTCATGACAGTAAACGCGGGCAGACAGTACTCAGCTCCTTGACAGCATGTGACAATACATTACTGCATGGTCTGTGGTCATGACAGTAAAGGCTGGCAGACGGTACTCAACTCCTTGACAGCATGTGACAATACATTACTGCATGGTCTGTGGTCATGACAGTAAACGCGGGCAGATGGTACTCAACTCCTTGACAGCATGTGACAATACATTACTGCATGGTCTGTGGTCATGACAGTAAAGGCTGGCAGACGGTACTCAACTCCTTGACAGCATGTGACAATACATTACTGCATGGTCTGTGGTCATGACAGTAAACGCGGGCAGACAGTACTCAGCTCCTTGACAGCATGTGACAATACATTACTGCATGGTCTGTGGTCATGACAGTAAACGCGGGCAGACAGTACTCAGCTCCCTGACAGCATGTGACAATACATTACTGCATGGTCTGTGGTCATGACAGTAAAGGCTGGCAGACGGTACTCAACTCCTTGACAGCATGTGACAATACATTACTGCATGGTCTGTGGTCATGACAGTAAAGGCTGGCAGACGGTACTCAACTCCTTGACAGCATATGACAATACATTACTGCATGGTCTGTGGTCATGACAGTAAAGGCTGGCAGACGGTACTCAACTCCTTGACAGCATGTGACAATACATTACTGCATGGTCTGTGGTCATGACAGTAAACGCGGGCAGACAGTACTCAGCTCCTTGACAGCATGTGACAATACATTACTGCATGGTCTGTGGTCATGACAGTAAACGCGGGCAGACAGTACTCAGCTCCTTGACAGCATGTGACAATACATTACTGCATGGTCTGTGGTCATGACAGTAAACGCGGGCAGACAGTACTCAGCTCCTTGACAGCATGTGACAATACATTACTGCATGGTCTGTGGTCATGACAGCTCCTTGACAGCATGTGACAATACATTACTGCATGGTCTGTGGTCATGACAGCTCCTTGACAGCATGTGACAATACATTACTGCATGGTCTGTGGTCATGACAGTAAACGCGGGCAGACAGTACTCAGCCCCTTGACAGCATGTGACAATACATTACTGCATGGTCTGTGGTCATGACAGCTCCTTGACAGCATGTGACAATACATTACTGCATGGTCTGTGGTCATGACAGTTAAGGCTGGCAGACGGTACTCAGCTCCTTGACAGCATGTGATGATACATTACTGCATGGTCTGTGGTCATGACAGCTCCTTGACAGCATGTGACAATACATTACTGCATGGTCTGTGGTCCGGACCGAGATCCACTCTGCTTCTGCTTCTGCTTCTACTTCTACTTACTTTCACAAATCTCTACATAGTGCAGGCTTTTACCAGCATTAGAAAGTGTCAATTGTCCTGCAGTCCTTGCTAAACTGCCTAATAATTAAGGTATCTTAAGGACAAGTTGAGATTTGCCATTATTAAGGGTTTTGCTGATATTTTAAGTGACATTTTATTTTGGTAAGAAATACACTCAAAGTGAATAATTCCCTAAGCTACTTTTCCTCAAAATAACATTGAAACTCCTGCCAATGATAAGCTTTAGACATTAGGAAAATTATATGACATGAACAACTTTTTGGTAGATGTTGTGAGGCATGCCACATGTCACCAGGCTGGGACCCTGATGTTCCTGCCTTGGACCTGGTAAATTCCTGACAGTTTATGTGTAATTTGCTTCCAAGGATGATGTTATTTACAGCAGAACATGGTCGTAACCAACGCAGCTATAACAAACTACAAGTTCATCAAAAGTCCCTCCTGCTTTACCATATATTATCACATTAAGTTTACAGCAGCAAATATTATTGATAACAAATTAAATGCTATCGCGAACTGATATTTCACCTCAAACAGACCTAATAACAATATATTCTTACATTCAAGGCCTCAGTACAGCTTCAAAAAGTTTTATGGTAGACATGTGGAAGACATTTCCAAATTTGATGCATCAGTGTACGATGCAATGTCCTATTCTAACTTGTACCATATGTTCTCATGCTTTTTTTTCAGGTGAAATATTTATTTGCCTTTGCATGCATTTGTAAAGGGTGCCACCATTAGGGCAGAAGATGCTCACCTTTTTGTGAACACCTGGTATCATCTCTCTTTGACAATGATTCATAAACACTTCTCATGACATAGTGGAAACTGTCTGCTTCAAGCAGAGATTGCTGATGAATATGGACAGGGTTTTATCACTGTTGTTTACAAAGGTCATGAACTGGTCCAGGTCAGTTAAAATCCATGATGAATCTTACAATGTGCATGTACTTATCCCATCAAAACAGACCACATACAGATTAGTGAACCTCCATTTGCAACTATCAGCAGTGAATGAATAGTTATATTAGTCGGTGACTAATCAACATTATCACCAGATATCAGATTGACTCTGATGGTGTCAACTTTTAACATAAAACAACACTATTGAAACACAAGTACATCTTGCTACATTATGAGAACAGAGAAACATGTATGGCACTACAACATAGACATATATATGGCACTTCATCATAGACATATATATGGCACTTCATCATAGACATATATATGGCACTTCATCATAGACACATATATGGCACTACAACAGGGAAACATATATGGCACTACAATATAGACACATATATGGCACTACAACAGAGAAACATATATGGCACTACAACAGAGGCACATATATGGCACTACAACAGAGACACATATATGGCACTACAACAGACACATATATGGCACTACAACAGAGACACATATACACAGTAAAAAAAGTGTTGCACCCCCTATACTTTTTCATGGAGGGGTGTTTTGAAAGGGCGTAAAGATAACCGAATTAATATTATAACCAGGATTTCGTGTATACCAACAAACCAGTGTATTGTCTATACAATGAACTTAAATGGGGTATTCCATGACCTTATGGCATGTAATAATCTCTTGCTGAACTTTTACGAAAAATGAACGAACAACGAAGACGCATTAAGTATGGTGACATCTCAATAATTTTTAGTGACCAAATTCATCCAATAGGGTAAGAATGTCATATGGAGATTTGACGAACACAGTAAGTCAATATCGAGAACTTCCACCAAGCACTTGGATCACAGCTTGAAGTCTTCGTCTCATACTCCTCACCAGACGTTGGAATCGCTCCATGGGCAGCTGCTGCCACTCCTCGTGTAATGCTGCTTCCAATTCACGCAAGTTCTGTGGAGGAGGGTCCCGACGATAAATCAGGCGTCCCAAAATGTCCCATACATGTTCCAGAGGATTCAGATCTGGACTCATTGCTGGCCATGGAATCTGCGTCAGAGCATTGTTGTGGATAACCTGGGTCACAGCTTGTGAACGATGTGGTCTGGCATTGTCATCCATGAATATCGGTCTGGTGGCCAGTGGATGATTGTCAAAATGGGGCACCACAACTGGATTCAGCACCTCTTGGATGTAGCGCTCCCCTGTCAAGTTGCCTCGTATGGTCACTAAATCAAGCTTACAATCAAATGAGAAGCATCCCCAGACCATAACAGATCCACCTCCATACAGTTGGTACAGTTGGCATGATGTTTCTTGCAGTATAAGCTGTTCCAGGACGCCTCCATACTCTCACTCTGCCATCCACAACATGCAGAAGGAACCTGCTTTCGTCCGACCAGTGGACTCTTCTCCAGGACCTCAAGTTCCAGTTCTGTCTCAGTCTACACCAGGCTAGACGTAGTCGTTTGTGGTTGTCTGTGAGTTTAGGTCGCTTGATAACCCTTCTGGACTTCAACCCTGCAGCTTTAAGACGATTTCTCACGGTCTGGGTACTGAACTGTTGACGAGGAAGCCAAAGACGTTTCAAGGTTGTGCTTGTAGCAAATGGATGACGCCTTACCACCCTCAACAACGCTCTGTCATCTCTAACTGTGGTCTTACGTGGTCTGCCAGAGGGTCTGCGATTCCTTACATCATTAGTTTGTGCGTGTTTTCTGACCAAACGGCTTATTGTTGAGTAGTGATGTCCGGTTCTTCTGCCAATCTCCTTGAACGAAAGACCTGCTCCATGAAGGCCAATAATCTGCCACTTGACTGCTTCTGACAATCGTCTACCCGGCATTGTGGGTTACAATAAAATGGGCTGTCAGAGAACATCTTTTATAGGCGATGTTGAGCTTAAGAAGATACTGCAATCTGCAAATGTCATGCACCATGCAATTCACGTGCTGATTGCTACGTTTTGGTGATCATCTTCCCTCCGAAAACATTACACATTTAACATCAGATCCCCAAGGAATACCTACCATTAAAACCAGAGTCGGGCGTTTTAAATGTTGTGATGTATCAAACGTATTAATGTGGGGGTGCAACACTTTTTTTACTGTGTATATATGGCACTACAACAGACACATATATGGCACTACAACAGAGACACATATATGGCACTACAACAGAGATACAGTACAAGCGTGTATGTCATGTTTAAAGTCTGGTTAGTCTTCTGTGCATAACGTACCAAGAGGATTGTGCCCATCCACTCGGAAATGATCAGATCAACTTCATCATCCAGTTGAGCATCCTCGATGTAGCTGCGCTTGACACAGATGATGTCCTCAAATCCATTGTCACGGACAACACCTTCAGTTTTCTCCGCCATATCACTGGCCTCTACAGCATACACCTGTTGAATACAGAGGACAGCAGCATGGCAACTGTAACAATGGTAACGGTAGGTTGCAGGTTTGAATATGGCTGTCTTAGAGTCCATTAGAGTTCAATTTCTAATCAGAACTGGAACCACACTCACTTAAACAGGGCTCCAGATAATCTTTCAGCATCAGGAGTACTTACAATATAGGAGTATTGGCAAAACTACATAGTACATTTAAAGTACTGAATGGAACTTAATGGATAAATCATGTATTTCATTTTGGATATGCACCACAGCATTTCTACTTTTTTTTCATCGTAAATGGATGCCTATTGTATAATGTGCACCCCTTTAGGGAAAAAAATGAGAATTATGAGCAGAATTTGTTTTACAATGTATCCCATAAGTAAAGTCAGGTAAACAAACAGGTGATAACAAACTTGGTTAATACAAATTTGAAATTTGAGATAAAACATCACTAGACATGATGATTTATAGTTGAACTTGTATTTCCAGTTCTACTAGGCATTGTTTTATATGTAGAGATTAAGGTTATATTTTCTCGTAAACTAAGCCAGAAAACGCAATCATTTGCACACACATTTTCTCACAATCTACGGTGATATGGTCAAACTTTACCCGGGGGCACGGGTGGCCCAGTAGTCTAGTCTAGATTCGCTGTGCAGAGTTGCGTCCCTTGGGCAACACCAGAAACCTCGGATTGTGGGTTTAAAATCCCGGTTCGCCCCGGTTATGTTTCTAGGTTTGTCAGCACCATACCCGTGCTCGTGGGTTTCACCGAAGTGGTAAACGTCTTAGACCTGCATCACTTCGGGCTTTCCTCCCACATTAAGCTGGCACGGGGTGATATAACTAGAATACTGTTAAAAGAGGCGTTAAACCAACTCACTCACTCACTCAAACTTTACCCAAAAATATAACTGAAAGAAGTTTGAAGCAATGCTCTTAAGAATTGTACCTGAAACTATTATTTTATCAGGAATAACATAGTCCAATATCGTGTTACTCGTATTATAGTTGCAGCTTTACTATATATATTTAAAATAATAATAACCATAAGTGTAGAAGTAACTTTTATTGAATAATATAAACAGTCACCGTTGAGTCTCTCGGGCTCGTGCTTGTGAAAACTATATGTTGACATATATCAGTCCAACTACAACAAATATGACTATTAACGAGTCAAAGTATGGCATTTTCTGTCAACTAAAGTTTGTTTCAAAACATTGATAATTGTTATATGACCGTGGTTGCTGTAAATCATGGTGAGTTGTGCGATCTACCGTTCATTTCCTACACGATTTCCCCAAAATTAATGTAAACAAAATTGAATGAAACTTTGTATAAATTATTAAAATAGGTAACAAACATAAGTCCAGATTTTCAATAAAAACGTTTTGTTACCAGACAGTGTAATTACATGATTAATTTGTGTACTTCAGTACGGATTTGTTGACATGGCATTTCCAGTGTTAAGTGCTCACGGTAATGTATTTGCGCTGGGGATAAAAACTCATTATAACGAGTATAATGCGCACCCCATTTACACAGCTTTTTTGAAAAGTGTGCACTATACTCAAGAAAATATGCTGCTTGAAATCAGAAAAGTAAAATCCTAGATATTTTTTATATTTGTATACTTATCCTGCATTACTGCTTGTTCTTGACAGAGAATAGAGCTATGTTTTTGCTTGAAGAAGTTGTTTCAACTAGCTGAGAGGCCAACCCGATCACACATCTCCCACATGACCAAGGGAAGTCACGTCACAGATCCTCACATTGCTCTTGAGTCCAGAACATCGGAAGACATCGTGGGGAGGCAGCTCTGAGACGGGCGGGTCTCTTTAGATGCAGTAATGCAGGATAAGTAAACAAATATAAAAAATAACTAATATTTTACTAGATTTTTTACTTATCCTACATTACTCCTTAATGCATCTTTATCCGACGGTATCGGTGGAGGGCAAACCTTCAGATGTGGACTTTCATCTCAGAACTCTGTTTCCCTCAGCCAATCCTCGGCTGTGTGGTCGGCATCAAATGACAAATCCATGGATGGGAACCAAGAGTCAGGTATGCGGTGTGTCCAGGTACTACGCAGCCATAGACGATAACCTTACTCAAGTTAAAGTTGTTGACTGGTGTACCGAGCCTTATGCAAGTGGGGCATGAACCTTCTTCTCTTACCGCTACTAACGGACCAAAACTATGCGTGCCTTGCATATCCGCCAAAGGGACGTCTCGCAGGTAGTGACTGGCGAGGACGATCGCCAGAAGCACTCCTCCATGTTGGCACCTAGAGAGCAGTTGCTGTGTAGCGCCATGGTGGAGGCGACCGCCCAGATCTTATGCGGGTTGTTGGAGCTTGGGTGGTCCAACCCTGTGGCCTCGTAGGCCTGGAGAATGATGGCTCATAGCCAGAGGGCGATCGTGTTGCGGTTGACAGGTATAAAGAGGTTGCGGCATTGTCTACGGCATTCCTTGGACGATGAATGTAACAACGGAGCACTCTTACCGAGCACAGCCAGAGCTCTTGTTCGTCTTCGGCGCCCAAGATATTGGAGGGATGAGGAATGATCTATCGGGCTGACCTGGGAGCTGGTTTTTGGCAATGAAGTCCCAGCACAGTCCGCCATGAATGTCTTCATTTTTCATCAGATGATAGAATGATGCCACGTCGAGGGGCTCCAAGGGTGCTTCTCTCAGCAAGGTGAGAATGATGTTCAGGTCCCAAACTGGTGGACGAAATTTCGCCTTTTGGCTCTATGTAAATGGACCAGATGTAAAGACAAAGCTTGTCTGGTCCTGGGTGTGCTGTGCCTGCTGTGGATGAATCAGCAGGTTTGGCCAGTCTGGGAGTGGCCGCGGGTCGATGTCGGCTAATTCTCTGATGGACCAATCCCTCGCCAGCCACCAGGGCGCAAACAAAGTCAGATCGAGGCTCTGCGTCGATCTGGTCTTCTGGATGACCCTGTGGAGGAGTACATGTGGCTGAAAAGTGTAGGCTTTTAGTCCTTCCCAGGGGACGCTGAAGGTGTCGACTGCCCAAGCCAGGCGATCCGATACCGGCCATATCATTGTCGGTATCTGGTAGTTCCGGCTGGTAGCGAACTAGTCTATGTGGCTTCCACTATGTGGGAGCGACCTTGTCTGGCCAAGAAAGCGCATCCATGAGGGTGTTGCGACAGCCCAGAATGTGTTTGACCTGAAATGGATTCCCAGATGATCAACCAGGTGAAAGAAAATGTATATTGAAGGAGTGAGAGTGAGTGAGTCGTTCCTTGTGGGAGGCGCCGACGTCTGTTGCATGGCCTGCAAGGAGAAAGGCGTCCATCATAGGCAATTTGGACATAGGCGGGGGCGCCTGTTGGAAACCATAGCCCAAGGGCGTCTGTCAGATGGACTGGATAGGCGCCATCTGGTAGGAGTGAGTGAGTGAGTGAGCTGGGTTTAACGCCGCTTTTAACAGTATTCCAGTTATATCACGGCGTGTCAGCTTAATGTGGGAGGAAAGCCCGAAGTGATGCAAGTCTTGGACGTTTACCACTTCGGTGAAACCCACGAGCACGGTATGGTGCTGACAAACCTAGAAACATAATCGGGGCGAACCGGGATTTGAACCCACGATGAAAGGTTTCTGGCGTGCCTTTTCTCTATGCGCAAAGCGGATGCGCGTGACGTCCAGACATGGGCTGCTGTGCTGAGGGCAAGGAGGAAGACCGATTTTTCATCAGATGATAGAATGATGCCACGTCGAGGGGCTCCAAGGGTGCTTCCCTCAGCAAGGTGAGAATGATGTTCAGGTCCCAAACTGGTGGACGAAATTTCGCCTTTTGGTCTTCCAACGGAGCAGAGCCTGTAGTTCTGATGATTTTCGTCATGCGCTTATCTTCCGGAACTGCCACGATGGAGTTGAGTGCCACAAGGTAGGTCATGATGGTGCTACCCTTGAGTCTATTCATGTGGCAAAGATAGAGCAGGAACTCGGCCAGGAATTGAGGCCATGAAGTAGGGGGGTCTTGCCCTGCAAAAGCTCTTGAAGGATAGCCATTTGCCGTCATAAAGGTTCCTGTTGGTTGGGCGGTGAGCCATTGTGATGGCCTTCGCCACTCTGGCTCTATGTAAATGGACCAGATGTAAAGACAAAGCTTGTCTGGTCCTGGGTGTGCTGTGCCTGCTGTGGATGAATCAGCAGGTTTGGCCAGTCTGGGAGTGGCCGCGGGTCGATGTCGGCTAATTCTCTGATGGACCAATCCCTCGCCAGCCACCAGGGCGCAAACAAAGTCAGATCGAGGCTCTGCGTCGATCTGGTCTTCTGGATGACCCTGTGGAGGAGTACATGTGGCTGAAAAGTGTAGGCTTTTAGTCCTTCCCAGGGGACGCTGAAGGCGTCGACTGCCCAAGCCAGGCGATCCGATACCGGCCATATCATTGTCGGTATCTGGTAGTTCCGGCTGGTAGCGAACTAGTCTATGTGGCTTCCACTATGTGGGAGCGACCTTGTCTGGCCAAGAAAGCGCATCCATGAGGGTGTTGCGACAGCCCAGAATGTGTTTGACCTGAAATGGATTCCCAGATGATCAACCAGGTGAAAGAAAATGTATATTGAAGGAGTGAGAGTGAGTGAGTCGTTCCTTGTTCCAGACACCTGATGATGGTTATGTTGTTGCCACGTGTCTGATGGCCTGCTTCAAATGAGCGAAAGCCAGTATAAGCGTCTCCAGTTTGAGGTTGTTGATGTGCCAAAGGCGATGAATGGCAGACCACAGCTCCATCTGATTCCACTGTCCAACACCGGAGACGCTTTTGAGGTGATCCAGGAGGACGATGGACACGGAGGGGTCCTGATGCCTGATGTTGCGAGCCAGGAACATCTGAACTGGGCGTAGTTGAAGCCTTCCTCTGTATGTCAAGTCCTGCGCTGAGGTTAGGAGGCCCAGGAGGACTTGTATGCGCTCCAACTGATCCCTGGGTAAAGACAGGAGATCGAGGTGTGTCTGATCGAGGTT